GTCTTCCCCAGCACTGCAAGGGTTAAATCCTCTTTTTGCCGAGGTCACCAGTAAAAAGCAGATTTACTCACCTTATCCCCGCCGTCTTCTCTTTCCACGCGATTGGTCCCCTGAAGACTCTTCTATTGGGCGGTCATAGCTGTGACATCATCACGTACAACGCAGGACCACCAGTCCTCATTGAAAGTGAGCACGCCCGTCCGGGGTCTGACCACAACCCGGAGCATTGGGAGGAAGAGTTGAGCGCTGCCTGGTGGGGAGCGAGGGGTAAGTTAAAGGAGAACTATGAGGGGGAGTGAAAATCATTCATCCTCATAGTTCGGGGCTCTAGATAGGCAGAGCCAGCTGTCAGTCACGCAGCTGGGCGGATCCAGACATAATTGTCGGGATCCGCTTCAGCTGCGGTGTCTCAGTATACCGCGAGCTGTAGCTCCCTATATACTGAGCTTAGGGTGACGGGAGGACGCTAGTTTGTGTCCTCCCGTTACCCTAAGGAGAACTATGAGGAAAAGCCCTGACCCCATAGTTCTCCTTTAAGTCAAAGTCCCGGTACCCAGGACAAAAATCGAGCACTTAACCCTTGCAGTGCCGCTGGAGACCTACCGGGAGGATAGATCTTTCACATTTCTGGAGTTCAAGTTTAAAGGAGAACTATGGGGTTAAGGCTTTTCCCCATAGTTCTCCTCAGGGTCACAGGAGGACACAAACTAGCGTCCTCCCGTCACCCTAGGCTCAGTATATAGAGAGCTACAGCTCGCGGTATACTGAGACGCCGCAGCCGGGACGGATCCCGACATTGCTGTCTTGATCCGCCCAGCTGCGTGACTGACAGCTGGCTCTGCCTATCTAGAGGCAGAGCCAGCTGTACCCGCCCCCTCCCCCCTCCGTTCCGCCAGTCAGCGCTGGAGTATTGGAGCGGGGAGGAGGAGGGGATCCCTGCAGGGAGATGATCGAGAAGGGAGCAGGCAACGGTATGTGTTCGCTCACTTCCCGATCTACTGAGCCGACCTGCGACAGTTTAATTGTCACACGTCGGCTCTAACTATGAGGCTGAATGATTATCACTCCCCTCATAGTTCTCCTTTAACTCTTCCCGCCTCCGATCAGATTAATGGCCAACGTTCACCGTCACGGACTCACTAATATCATCCCATGAGACTGCTGCGCATAGAACTCCCACTATAAAAAAAAATGTTTGGTGAATTCCAATTATTTTAAACAGCGGTGAATATTTCCCCCTTTAAATGTATAAAGCGGCGTTTGTGGACTGATAGAGTCTTGCTGGGTTTCTTTTTTTTGGGTTATCCTTAAATGACCTGAATTGTAAAGCTGATTATCATTGGAGCAGTGCGTGGCAGCGTTGTGCTGGAGCGCCATCTAGTGGCTGTGATCAGAAAGACATCATACACCTTCACAATGTTATCACACAACCAGGCCCGGATTCCCCACAAGGACACCGAGGCCCGGGCCTCGGGGCGGCAGGGCGCAGAGGGGCGGCAGCGGTGTGAAATCCCCCGACGCCCGGAACATGCAGTTCCTGGCGCCGGGCGGTAAGTTGCGCTTCCTACATTTAGTCATGCTTTGCACAAGCAGGGCTAAATGTAGAACGGGGAAGCCGATTGTTCGTTTACGAGTGATCCCAGCGATGTCGCCGCGATCACTTGTAATATGTCTGCAGCCTGTCCGTCCTCCCCCGCCGCCCCCCCTCTCTCCATGCTGGCTCCGTCCTCCCCCAGCCGCCGAGTCTCTCTCCTGTCCCGAGTCCCATGCAGGGAGCAGAGCCGCTCCCTGCCGCTCCGTGTACACAGTGAGTGTGGAGCGCTGTGCTGTGCCGTTCCGTGCCGTGCTGCGCTCTTCCTCTCTCACATGTCACAGGAGTTCCAGCACAGCGCTGTGCTACAACTCCTGTATTGGAGGTGACAGGTTTCGATAAAGAGAACCTGTCACCTCCAATTGCTATCACACAGGCGCTTGTTAGCTCCTGTGTGATAGCAATAAAGTTAAATCCGCAGTCACTACAATCACCCTCCCCCTGTGGTTGGGGTATCCGGTAAGGAGTGCAGCAAGTCTCTCTCTGTATAGAGGTAATGAGGGCACACCACAAAAATGTCCCCCGTGTGCTAAAAATATCCGCGCCCCTGAGCATGAGACCAAATAGAATATCGTCGGAGATATGAATCATTTCATTGAAGCAATGACAACATATTTCCCAAGGAGCACAAACGTATCTAAACGCATCTACAACCCTCCCCGACCACAAGCCCATTCTATAGGGAGCAGCTTCTGAAAGACCCAGCGGGAGTCACTTTGTCTGCCTGATGAAGGAACCAACATGGCTCCCAAACGTTGGTTCTCACTGTCACATGACCTTCCAACGTCAATAAAGACAAATTGGTGGAGCAAATACTGGAGTGCCGGCGACTTCTTCATCTACTGCTGTGTTGGAATGACTCCGGTCATTGTGCATGACATGTTAGATCTGGTCTACAGGGAGCTGTATGCAGACCATCAGAATAGAACATGAAGGGTATGTGTAGGAACCTGTGTGATTGGAGGATGGTTCCTCTCTGGGTAGCTGTTCAGATTGCATGCAGTGCAGCATGGTTGATGGAGGACAACTCCTCAGGTATCACATCCCTGGGCTTAAAGCGTTCAGCGTACCTATTCGTGTAACATTCTGAAGAGCAGCGTGTGTTTCGGCCTAGTCAGGCTTCATCAGTGTGCTGCGGTCACATTCCTGGTCACTGGAAAACATTGATTCTGGACAGGAAGTAACACACCGGAGCCGTATTAACACTTTTTTTCTTTCTTGTTTGTCCTCTTTAGATACATTCGAACCATGTACTTGGGCATCCAGAGCCAGAGGCAGAAGGAACACCAACGTCGCTTTTATTGGGCTATGATGTATGAATATGCAGATGTCAACATGTTGCGCCTCCTTGAGACATTCCTGGAGAGCGCCCCCCAACTGGTGCTACAACTCTGCATAATGGTACAGAAGAACCGGGCGGACACACTTCCATGTGAGTTATCCTCATGTTCTGTACACACTGATCTTCATCCATGGCGTCGTTCAGGTTCTTATTGTTAAGGTCACACCCCCTGGCAGGTGACACGGGCTTAGCTGAGGGCCGGAGTCTAAGTACCAGCCGGTGTTCACCAGAGCTCCTGATGGTGGAGATGGGCTAGGCTGCTTGCTGGTACCAGGTTGCGGTCCCCAGGGTTGCCCTGCCAAGGGACGGACGAGAACAGGAGACAGTAGTCAGATCCAGGTAGAGTTCAAGGCAGGCGGCTAGCAGAGTGTGGTCAGACAGTCCAAGGTCAGCAACGAGTAATCGGAGGATAAACACAGGAGACAAGAGCAAAGTCAGGTCTAGGCAGAAGATCAGGGCGGGCAGCAAGCGAAGAAGGGTCAGACGGTCCGGGTCAGCAACGAGAAAACAGCAGAAGTATAAGCTCTTCAGACAAACAGGAAGCTGGCAAAAAAGACACAGCACCAGCTCCTGGCAGAGCGAGTGCTTAAATACCCTTCTGAGTCAGAGACGACACGCCCAGTCTCAGGGTTCACTGGAAGTCCTGGTCTGGAATCTGTTACTATTATCACCCGTACTGGCCTGGACCCTGTGAGATCCATTAGCAGCGGATCTTCTGGAAATCCTGAATACGTTCATCCTTCTAGCTCCTTCTCCTCGCCTACACTTATCAGCAGGGCAGCCGTCAGAAATTTTGGGGCCCCTTACACGGCTAGTCTGACATCAGACGAGCAGCATCGCTGATGGGGCCCCAGCTTGTCTCGAAGTCGCTGGAGCGGCAATGCTGGGGCCCTGCGCTGCTAGGGCCAGGCCTCCTCGCCCTTCACCTTCGGCCGATAGTCATGTAAGGGACCCGGGCGGGTCCCCCAGGCTGCCTGGGCCCCTTACATGAGTATCGGCTGTACCCCCCTGATGCCTGCCCTGCTTATCAGTAATGGTCAATGGCTGAAGGGCAGAGGTGTAGATACAGCCGGATGACATGAACTACGAGGAGTTGGTCACTTTCAGCTGGACTTCCTCTGTGATGTTGAAGACGTTTCACAACTCAACCAAGCGGATTCTTCATTTCTAATACGAGACTCAGGGAGGTACAATCAGCATTTATATCCCCACGGGGGAACTCAGTCACCTTCCATACACTTGGAATGTGTCAGATGCTGATTGTCCAAGACGCTCCTCAGAACTCCAAAAGCCTCTTGGACGTCTTCAACATTTCAGGTTCAGTTTAATGTGACTGACTACTGCTAGGTATACCATGACCTGGATCAATGGGAACCTTCACGGACATATCAGCTTTGTCTATAGCAGTGGTTCTCAACCTTTCTAGGGCCTGGACCCCTTGGTAACATTTGCCAAGTTGTGGTGACCCCCAACCGTACAATTTAGGAATGCACCAATACTAGTAACTGTGTGGGCTCTCAGGTGGCTAATGGGACTCTCTGTTGGCATCCAGTGTTGGCTCTGTGGTGCCCGGTGCGGGCTCTGTGGTGATCAAGCACTCACCTCCCCTCACTCCTGCCTGCACCCCTCTCTCTGATCCTCTCAGGCTGCTGCAGTGCCATCTAGGAGAACTGACAAGGCTGCGCTAGGAGGAGGCTGAGGAGCCTCTTACCTAGAGCAACACAAGGCATGTGGGGACCCCCTCAACTGTGGGTTGCGACCCATTTTTGGGTCGCGCCCCACAGGTTGAGAACCACTGGTCTATAGAGATGTTGGGCTTCCCGTGGTAAGGTTGAGGAAATGTGAATTTCACTTTGATCTGCGACATGTACAAACCATGAGGAGCAAGTTCAAGCTGGACATCAGTGAATTCACATGGTACCAAGAGAAATGTTGTTCCCATTTCCCCCTCGCGGTGCAGGATGGATGTGACACGTGCCGTCTGCTTACATCCTCCCCCTGCACAGTGTTTCTATCATGGATGGGAAAGGGAGCTCAGGGTCATAGGTGGCCAGGATCCTGGAGATCGGCTTTAAGGTAGATTGGCCATCTTTATTGATAAGTCCCATGAGGTGTTCCATGTATGGCGGGGGTAGATAAACTCCGGCCCTCCAGCTGTGATAAAACTACAAGTCCCATGAGGCATCGCAAGACTCTGATAGCCACAGGCATGACTTCTGGAAGCAGAGGCGTGATTAGATTTGCAGTTTCCCCACAGCTGGAGGGCCGATGTTTGCCTACGCTTGATGTATGGGGAAAAGATCCAGATGCAGACAGATGTGTTATATCTCCCAAAAAGAAGATGATAATATGATAGATGTTCCTCCGCTCACCCAATTAGCTTCCCCAGGAACACAGCCCGGCGTTTATAGCCACGCAGATACCTTCATACACTCGCCATGGAATGTGTCACAGGAGATGATACGCGTACAAGTGAAACCACCTTGTTCTAAATCAGCCCTTCTCAACCTTTTTTTTAGCTAA